AATTAGCAACGACTACATTTAAGTTACCGTGTTTTATTTAATTGCAACTTGATTCTGATTTTGTCGAATGCTTTTCTGAATCACCCGTCCCCAACTGGTTAACCCCTTTGGGACGCGTAATTCAGAAAAGCATTCGTACAAAAGCAGAACAGGATGTAATTAAATAAAAAACGGTAACTTAAATGTAGTCGTTGCTAATTTGACAGACTTACTTTACTTTTACTTGAATTATTTTTAATTCAATCATATATATAATCAATGTTAGTTCGAAGTATAACTAAATACTTTTATTTTGAACAAAGTAATGGTGAGTTAAATAAATCAAACAATTATAACTCCACCCACAAATAAACTGCTTACGAATTACTTTGATTACCAGTTTTATCTTTTTACCCTGGTTGATACGGTTTTATGCAGGCACGTATTTGTGACAGTCGGCGCGAAAGGGTTAATAATATCGATCATCATAATCTTCATGATTATCTTATTTTATATTGTTTATGATTATAGTGTCATTTAATTATACTCCATGCCACTCAACATTTCTTGATTGTTCATGTTACGCGAACCCCCTCTCGATTTTTTGGTGATGAGCACCCACTCTTCCTCCCATCTACATTCCTCCTCATCATCCATTTATTACTACAGATGAATCGGTTAATACCGTTTCGCGGCAGCGCACCGAGATCTATGTGATTTCTACCATTCTACCTAAAAGTTAACCTGTTTCGTCCCGTAATTATAAATTGAAATGATACAAAAAGTGGTTTTATGGAAAAAGTGGTATAATATATTATTAAAATTAATTGTTTTTTCTACTGTTAGGGCACTCAAAAAGTCATTGATAGATCAAAAAGTACTCGCTCCTTATAATTCTAGATGTAATCAGAAATAACTAAATCATTGTGGTATCTGAGAATCTTTTAATTCACCCAGATAAATGAAAATAGTGAAAAAAGTTTCCCACCACAATGAATGTCTTTGAAAAAAGGAACTGTCCTAAATATATGACGATGGGCGTTAAACGGTTAATCTAGTGGTTTTTATTCATTTGAACTTATTTTCCACAACGATACATATAAATGATTTAAAAATTCTTGTATAATGCCACTTTGTTCCAACTCCTTCTTAGTTAGGCTTTTATTATGTTAACAAAATTGGCAACATATTAAATTTTGGCTTTTAATTGCTTACCTCTCTATAAAAGTTTTTTCACAATACTTAGTAGTTGGCAGGCTTTTTTTCGTAATTTTGTTAACAATTTAGAAGCTTTACCATGATAGAGTTGGACGACGAAGACGATCTGGGATTGTTAAGGTGCCTGCCCGCGCAAGCGGGCACTTGTCCTCTTAGTCTGAAAATTTGCCTTAGGGCAACGGTGACTAATGGCATAAAAGTTCGATAGAGTTGGAACAAAGTGGCGCTGTATATGAGCATTTAAATCATTTATTTGTAGTGGTGGAAAAAATGAAAAATATACATTAAAACACAGCTATCACTAGAGTAAATTTTCACAAGAGGAGTAGAAAGATGGCAGCTCTGGATTCCATATTTAGAGAGATTTTACTCTATACTAAATACTTACATCAGCTAATCCTTGTAGTACTCGAAGACAAATGAAAGCCGCTGTACCCCAGCTGACAGCCAATGGACACAACAATGAAAATATAGATGTTGCTAACACTCCTCCACCAAACACCCATTTTGCACCCAGTTTTTCTGCCAAAATGCCACCAGGCAATTGTGTAATGACATATCCATAATAATAGGATCCAAGTATAACTCCTTGAGTTTTGGAATTCCAATTGTACTTCTCACCCTAAAAAGTAATTTTTATGTATAGTTAAATCGGCTGTATTCAAGAATTTGAATTGTGGAAATCAAGAAGCTTTACCATAACGTATGGTATTTGAATTTAAAAATTATTTACGTCATCATAACTAAGAAGGTCACCCAACCGCTTACTGATCGCAGCCAGTGATGCTGGACTTTGGTATTCAACTGGGAGCCGTGTCTTTAAGATCAGAAATAAAAACGAAAAAAAATTATGAAATACGAAAAAAAAAGAAGATTTAATTGTTCTTCTGTATTAAAAAGTTAAAGATTTTTCATCATAATAACAATTTCCGTTATTTTAGTGCAGATTGCTGAACAGAAATAAACCAGCGGTGCCAACTTCTCCACTTTTTTTTTAATGTTATGAAGCGATAAATAATTTAAAACTAAATTATACAGAATTGTTCTAAATTCATACGTCATCTTGAAAGGAGAACTGCAACATAACTTGGTTATAGTATAAATTTTTATGAATTTCATATTTAATAACCGTCGTTGAACAGCCGACCCAATTTTTGGGGTTTTTGATTACTAATGTTCAACTCCATAGTCCTGTAATTTTGAACCCAATCCAGAAGACAAAGAAACTCCTGAATCAAGTACTGGGACAAATTTGCCTTCATGGAGGACTTTTTTGATGGAATTAATTCCGTATCCGGCTTGCACCGACCACTGTGCTGACGTTAAATATCCTCAGAGGCAGACGAGTCATGGGTTAGAGTACCCTTGTCGTCAGCGTAAACATGTTAGGTTTTTGCGGTTTTCCTCTCCAAGTAACTCAAATGCGGGTTAGTTCCATCAAAAAGTCCACAAACAAAGACAAATTTCTCTCGGTACTTGATTCAGGAGATCCCTTGTCTTTTGGATTGGGTTCAAAATTACAAGACAACGGAGTTGAACATTAGTAGAGCCTAAATTGAGCAAACAAGCCAGCAAATGCATGTAATTTCAAAAAAATAAATAAAGCTGATAAACAGATGGCAACAAAACTCTATTTGACAAAGTCTTTTGCAAAATACAAAGTAGCCACCCAATAACAATGTGAGGCATACAGCGTGCGCTATGCTAAACTATCATATAATTTTTGTGACAAAATTATTGCAATGCAATTCTGCGATCAAAAATTTTTGAAAGGCAGTTAAATAGTTTACAGTTGCCTATTTATATATTTTTTTGATAAGTATATTCGTTTTTATGCAATCAATGTTAAACGAATTTTTCAATGTCGTCCAAATGAGTTTTCAAGAGTTTAAACTGTAATAAAGTAAGATTTCAAAATATTTAAAAACTGAGGAACATAATATGTTCCTCAGGTTCTAGATATTTTGAAATCTTACTTTATTACAGTTTAAACAATATAGTAGTTTTAAATTGCGTTATTTATTGATTTAAAGTTTAGAGAAAAATTTCATATAAATTCTGAAAAATTATCAAGCTCCACTTCTCTTAATGAAATAAGGGGATCCTTTTATTTTTTACTTTTTTTAATGTGGCATTATGTTGTCTAATAATATTATATCTTCAAACGTTTGATAGGCCAAAAAAAATTTAACCTAAAATCCAAGATGGCGAGTGCAGAGCCATTGCCTCCTACATCAGAAGGCCTCTACACGAATTTTTATAAGGAGTCTGCGCAGACAATTTGAGAAAAGTGCCGTTTTTTTATGATGTCGAGAGAAACTTATCATATACATTTGAGTTTTGAATCTGTAGTGGTAGACAAATAAATACGAGAAAGCAATCATATTCATAAGTTAAAAAAAATTTAGATATATATTTGCTACCAATTTCTTATTTTCTTATTACTAGATTCTTTATTGAAGAGTTCTTTTATAAACTGATTTACCTTCATAGTGATCAGATCAGACTACCTATAAGAAACCGTGTGCAGG